TTGGACTAGATGACCCACAGAGGTCCCTTCCAACCCCTGCCATTCTGTGATTCTGTGATTCTGTGACATTCCTTGACTCTGCCAGTCCTCTCCAAACTTGAGCTACAGTCTAGCCAGTAAAAAACTGTTTTATGAATTACACCGATGTCAGACATATTTTGCTAAAATTACTTGGTTCTGTGTGCACCATGAGCTCCTGCACCAAGTAGCTTATCTGAAGCTTACAGTGAGTTCTACATTCAACCAAGACTGGAAGTATTATCTCAAGGTCAAGAGACAATTTCTTCCTTTCCTTGGATAGTTACTAAATGCTACATAAATATGAGACAGCTACCACTGAGAAAAGAAATTTTTTCTCACTGTGAACACATTGCCTCACTGCATTACATTATTACAAGTTTCTACAGGAACTTTACACTTGCATGCCTTTTTTTTTATTATTATTTTGCAATCCCTTTTTTATCCTGTAATCACTGTCCAGCAACAGCTTACTAATTCATTTCCATAATTTGGTACTGCTATGGTACAGGAAATTCGCAGAGGACAACAGCATCAGGGTGAACCGAAGGCCTCAGTGAGACGCAGTTAAAAATTCTTCATCTACAATGACAACCTACTGGAAAAGGCTCAGTATATTGATCCAGATACAACACGTAACTTGGGCAAATGAGCAGTCCCCATCCTAAAGCTTCTGGCAAGTCTTGCCAGGGTGAAAAACTGGGTTTCAGCGCTCCAGAGTGACCACTAGCTTGAGGCCAAACTGAGTTCACCTTTTAAGAAGTGTCAGAAAAAGCCATCTATGAAAGGGCATCCCAAGATATCACAGTACGGCTTGTTAGGCTGAGCTGTCAGGTCAATAGATCTTCAGCGACACTGCACATTGGTGGTTTCTGAGTTTGAATGTTACTGTAACAAGATATGAAAGTAAACAGGCTTCTGGAAAAGCGTATTAACCCACTGCTTCCAACCTGCATTTGCAGACATGAGACTGGGATGAGAACTAAGAATCTGAATTCTCATGACCATGCCAGGTCCAACTCTCCAGCTCTATGGATGGAAGCTAACACTGTGAACAGTTACTCTTCTATGAATATTTTGACATTTACAAGAAGAAAAAATAGTTTTGCAGGAAATTCCTTCCCATGCAAGAGGATTAGGCACCAATGCTGCCCACCTTGACCATCTATTACAAGCCATCACCTTCAGAGCCCAGGCAGAATGGAAGATTTTAAGAACTGACTCAAAGTACCTATTCAAGAGTCAGGCAGCTTCCTTCTTTCTTTCTCTCAAATGCTGTGCAATAAATCACAAGTTAGATTCCTGAAGTGAGATGGCAGGGAGTCGACAGCAGCATCAACAGAAACCCCTCAGAATGAGGGCAAAAACTCATTTGTATGCATTCCACTAAAATTCTATATAGATGCACTGGGAGTTCGGGTGGGAGTGTGCATACTTGTGCCATTTCTAAGCAAATAGTTTGTTGTTGACCAGGATCAAAGACCCTGACTGTCATTATCAAATTTCTGCACCTATAATAGTCTCCGTTACCTGAGCTAATCTTAAACAAGAAATGCAGTTTTGTTTACCCCAGAAAGAAATCAAACAGGAATCAATATAGGTTTTATACTAGTTTCTTGCTTAAGCCTGTTTGCAATATGAAACCACCAAGATTTGTCAGAAAAATATCCCCCAAAGTTAGCATCATTACAATAAAAAAAAAAATACATAGTGTCTCAACCTCATTTGTTGATAGATGCATTTTCGTCAATTACATGAAGCTAATAAAAATGTATTATTATCCATCCCCTCCAGATAAACCACTGGCTCTGCAAGTTGTTCAGAATTAATGAAAAAAAAATTTAAAAATCGCAGAAAATTTCCATTATAATTTTTCTGTAACTTCAGTACAACAGATTTTTCTTTGTCTTGTCTCCCTAACATACCAGGAAATATTTACTTCCTGTAACAATTTTGAAAATACATATACGTGTTCAGTTTTTCCTGAGAAGTATGTTAGCAGAAAATAAGTAAGAGTAAGCAGAGGATATACAACCACAACAGCACATAAGATACAATTTTAGGGAAAAGAACATTTGTGCCTCAGAGCTGATTTCTTCCCAGTGATCATCCTGGGATGACAGAGCTGAAAACAAGCCATCATGTAGGCTAGTTCTGTTGCAAACATGGCCCATTGATGTTCTTCACTGTCTTTGTTTTAAAATAGACAGACCCTAGCACTTGCTAGTCTGAGGAAGAAACTCTGCTTCTTCTCCGTTATATGAAAAGGTTTTGTTGTCGCAGTATTTCCTTGGCTGTTTGTGGGGCAGGGATTGTCTCTTAAATTTTCCATGTTATCTTTCTATTCCACTATTAATTTTTAAATAAAAATACGGAAGTTTATTTTTGCTGTCACTATGGTACTGTGCTACTGAGTCGCTGCATGCACTTGACCGTTGAAATCCTTTATCAAATGGTTCACTTTCAAAGAATTATTTCACTTCTGATAAAAAAAAAAAGAAAAAAAAAGAAAAAATAGAAACATCTTCAAGACAGAACAGGCAGCAGTCAAGAGGGGAAAAGAGGCACAGAGCACATTTCACAGTGGAGACTGGAGAAATTGTTGGCTGGGACGCAAGGGAAGCACTTCCACTTACGAGAAGGGGAGAGGAATACCCACGCAGAGCAAAACCAGAGAGTCTGAATGCGGTTTTCGGTGACCACCCACACAGCAAGTTGCATGGGATACTGTTCATCTTCAAAGCAAGAGGGGCAGCCTGGAACAAGACTACGACATTACAGAGTTCTTTCAAATGAAGGAGCTATATGCACTTTGGACTGAAAGCCAACATTGCAAGCTTTGCCAAAGGCTGGCTCAGCCTCAGACAGTTCCTATAATCCTGACAAAGCAATTTATGTCCCAGCTCAGCAAAGACCTATGAATGCATACCTGACTCCTGAATTCAGTAAGGTTTACGCATGTACTTGAAATCGCTTACACTTAC